ACCACAAGACTGTTTGGGCCACATCTAAAGGTTATGGTCCATGCCATAGTAATTAACTGCCTTTGGGTTGTCTCCAGGCACATAGCTGCATATGGACCACCACATTCATAGTTTTATAAACCTCCCTCACGGCCCCATCAGACAATTTTTCTTCTAGACTTCCTCACAGGAAAGATGTGTCAAACCCTTAATAATCATCATCTCTATTTTTTCCAGCTCAGTGGTATCTTTTTTAAGATACTGCAACCAGAACCACACTTCGTATCCCAAAGGAGGCTGCACTGTATGTAGCTCTATAAGAGGGCATTTACAGTATTAGCTGCTTTGTTTTCAGTTCCTTTCCGAATAATCCCCAGCATGGAGATTGCCTTCTTCACTGCTGCCGCAAACATTGGGCTTTTCACAACACCACCAAGATCTCTTTCAGTATCAGTCTCCACCAGTTCAGATTCCATCAGTGTATTTACTGCATCAAGAAGCGACCAGATCTGATTATCTAGCCATTTCCACCTTCCAAATACTGTCTGTAGTCAAGGAACTGCTATAAGCCAGAAAATATTGGTGATGGCATACTGTGAGGAATGTGCTATCAACTAACGATGTAAATGAGAAAGGGAAAAGCACATGATGATCACATTCTAGCACAGAGTCACACTTAAGCCCACTTCATTAAGTTTAAGAGTACTCAACTCTGTTCTGGAATTTCTCAGTGATTAGTTCAGGTTGCAGGTCATGTCAAGCTTCTGCCTTGTACGTGCTCTCCCCCACCCCCGTGCCACAGTTCTCTCTTGTTCTCCTTGTTTGTTAACAAACCAGAGTTTGCATGGATACCAGAATGGCAACATATGGTTTGATACAGTTTACAATTCTGTATCCAGACAAATGATATCTTACCAAGAAACAGAAAGGCAGGGAGAATGGGAGACTAGAAAAGGAGAAGAAAAGCACGTATGCCAGTGATTTGTCTACATAGCACCAATGCTTCATTTGGCGTTACATCTGGACTGAGCCCTAGTGCTGAAATGTATTTAACTGTATAGCATTTCCACATTCAGAGGTGGTTTGCCATTGCCTGCCTCCGTGTCATGACCCTGGTATTCCTTGAAGGTCTCCCATTCAAATACTATCCAGGGCCGACCTTACTTAGTTTCTGAGATTTGACAAGATTGGGCTATCCAGATCAGGGCAAAATCCGATCAAGCCAAGCCAAAAATATATCTATTAGTCCCATTTACTGTTAATAATAGCTATGGCCATATATGGGCAGTACTTATTTTCTTCTATAGTGTATGGCAACCATACATACCTGTAACAAAAAGAGAGTAATAATCAGGGTTACACTAGGAAAGGACATCTTGTAACAAACAACGGTTGACTCAGCATTTTGGGGGGGTCCATTCTTCACAACTCTTGTGATTTTGGCTGAGAGCTGGTGGGATGCAAGTGTTTAAAATAATTTTTAAATAATTCAAGACTTTAATTGCATGTCACGCGGCACTTGCTGTGTTATTTGAAAACAGGGCTATTGGTACTGGAAATGTACCACCATCTAGATGCAATCTAGTGTCCACATGTGTTAAAATCACCTGTTAAAAAGATGGTGCTCAATGCACTTTAAAAAAAGAGATTATATTGTTAGCCAGAGGCCCCGGTCACACGGGCCGGAAAATGCGGGGGGAAGCTTGGCTGTTTGCCCTGGAACAAAGTAACGCGTGGTAGCCCGATCAGACATCCTGTCGCGGTCCCGTGGTTAGGCGTTAGGTGTTGATCAGATGGCTAGTCTGCAGCGCGGCAAAGAAGCAGGACGGCGCGTTCACACCGGCAACCGCGCTGCGCCGCTTCTGTGGCAAACGGGATTTTTTGTTTGTCTCACCGAAGTTTGCGCATGTGCATGATCGTCTGTGCGCATCCTGTGGGAACTT